GGGGACATCGGACGTGTTTCTTTACACCGGCTGTCTATGTTCACCCATCAGTAAAATAGGAATCTGGGTGTTAGTAGATTTATGTGGGTCGCATCCTGGAGTTACCTGGAGAGTTTACCTGGAGAGAGTTTCGGGGGTCAACGCCCCCGCGGCCCGGTCTGTGACCAGGCCTCCTGGTGGATCAGCGCCTGATCAACCAGGCTGTTGCTGCTGGCTGCACGCAAACCAACGTACGAGCCACAGCCCGGCTGATCAGGAACTGACGCATCCTGTGACAAAACTGACCTAATTTACCCGAAATGCTCTGCATAACAAGGGGCTTTCTGTATAGTAGAATGTCATTGATGTCAACTAGGACTGTATACCTTGTATATGTACTTGTAGTAAATAAAGATATTATTATTATTTTTTTTTCAACAAGTCGGCCGTCTCTCACTGAGGCAGGGGACCCAAAAAAAGAAAGAAAATCCCAAAAAAGAAAATACTTTCATCATCATTCAACACTTTCACCACACTCACACATTATCACTGCTTTTGCAGAGGTGCTCAGAATACAACAGTTTAGAAGCATATACGTATAAAGATACACAACATATCCCTCCAAACTGCCAATATCCCAAACCCCTCCTTTAAAGTGCAGGCATTGTACTTCCCATTTAAAGGACTCAAGTTCGACTATATGAAAATAACCGGTTTTCCTGAATCCCTTCACTAAATATTACCCTGCTCACACTCCAACAGATCGTCAGGTCCCAAGTATCATTCGTCTCCATTCACTCCTATCCAACACGCTCATGCACGCTTGCTGGAAATCCAAGCCCCTCGCCCACATAACCTCCTTTACCCCCTCTTTCCAACCCTTTCGAGGATGACCCCTACCCCTCCTTACTTCCCCTATAGATTTATATGCTTTCCATGTCATTCTACTTTGATCCATTCTCTCTAAATGACCAAACCACCTCAACAACCCCTCTTCTGCCCTCTTGACTAATGCTTTTATTAACTCCACACCTTCTCCTAATTTCCACACTCCGAATTTTCTGCATAATATTTTACACCACACATTGCCCTTAGACAGGACATCTCCACTGCCTCCAACCGTCTCCTCGCTGCTGCATTTACCACCCAAGCTTCACATCCATATAAGAGTGTTGGTACTACTATACTTTCATACATTCCCTTCTTTGCCTCCATAGATAACGTTTTTTGACTCCACATATACCTCAACGCACCACTCACCTTTTTTTCCTCATCAATTCTATGATTAACCTCATCCTTCATAAATCCATCCGCCGACACGTCAACTCCCAAGTATCTGAAAACATTCACTTCTTCCATACTCTGCCTCCCCAATTTGATATCCAATTTTTCTTTATCTAAAACATTTGATACCCTCATCACCTTACTCTTTTCTATGTTCACTTTCAACTTTCTACCTTTACACACATTTTCAAACTCATCCACTAACCTTTGCAATTTTTCTTTAGAATCTCCCATAAGCACAGTATCATCAGCAAAAAGTAACTGTGTCAATTCCCATTTTGAATTTGATTCCCCATAATTTAATCCCACCCCTCTCTCGAACACCCTAGCATTTACTTCTTTTACAACCCCATCTATAAATATATTGAACAACCATGGTGACATTACACATCCCTGTCTAAGACCTACTTTTACCGGGAAGTAGTCTCCCTCTCTTCTACACACCCTAACCTGAGCCTCACTATCCTCATAAAAGCTCTTTACAGCATTTAGTAACTTACCACTATTCCATATACTTGCAACATCTGCCACATTGCTCTTCTATCCACTCTATAATATGCCTTTTCTAAATCCATAAATGCAATAAAAACTTCCCTACCTTTATCTAAATACTGTTCACATATATGCTTCAATGTAAACACTTGATTTACACATCCCCTACCCACTCTGAAGCCTCCCTGCTCATCCGCAATCCTACATTCTGTCTTACCTCTAATTCTTTCAATTATAACCCTACTGTATACTTTTCCTGGTATACTCAGTAAACTTATCCCTCTATAATTTTTACAATCTCTTTTGTCCCCTTTCCCTTTATATAAAGGGACTATACATGCTTCCGCCAATCCCTAGGTACCTTCCCCTCTTTCATACATTTATTAAACAAAAGTACCAACCACTCCAACACTATATCCCCCCCTGCTTTTAACATTTCTGTCATGATCCCATCAGTTCCAGCTGCTTTACCCCCTTTCATTCTACGTAATGCCTCACGTACCTCCACCACACTTACATTCTGCTCTTCTTCACTCCTAAAAGATGGTATACCTCCCTGGCCAGTGCTTGAAATTACCGCCTCCCTTTCTTCCTCAACATTTAAAAGTTCCTCAAAATATTCTCGCCATCTATTTAATACCTCCCTCTCCCCATATACTAACTCCCCTACTCTGTTTTTAACTGACAAATCCATACTTTCCCTAGGCTTTCTTAACTTGTTTAACTCACTCCAAATTTTTTTCTTATTTTCATTAAAATTTCTTGACAGTGCCTCTCCCACTCTATCATCTGCTCTCCTTTTGCACTCTCTCACCACTCTCTTCACCTTTCTTTTAATCTCCATATACTCTGCTCTTCTTATAACGCTTCTGCTTTGTAAAAACCTCTCATAAGCTACCTTTTTCTCTTTAATCACACCCTTTACTTCATCATTCCACCAATCACTCCTCTTTCCTCCTGCCCCCACCCTCCCATAACCACAAACTTCTGCCTCACATTCTAATACTGCATTTTTAAAACTATTCCAACCCTGCTCAACCCCCCCACTACTCATCTTCGCACTAGCCCACCTTTCTGCAAATAGTCGCTTGTATCTCGCCCGAACTTCCTCCTCCCTTAGTTTATACACTTTCACCTCCCTCTTACTTGTTGTTGCCACCTTCCTCTTTTCCCATCTACCTCTTACTCTAACTGTAGCTACAACTAAATAATGATCCGATATATCAGTTGCCCCTCTATAAACATGTACATCCTGGAGCCTACCCATCAACCTTTTATCCACCAATACATAATCTAACAAACTACTTTCATTACTTGCCACATCATACTACTCCCTCCATAACATTTTTACCCACTTTAGCATTGAAATCCCCAACCACCATTACTCTCACACTTGATTCAAAACTCCCCACGCATTCACTCAACATTTCCCAGAATCTCTCTCTCCTCCACACTTCTCTCTTCTCAAGGTGCATACACGTTTACTATAACCCACTTTTCACATCCAATCTTTATTTTACTCCACATAATCCTTGAATTTATACATTTGTAGTCCCTCTTTTCCTGCCATAGCTTATCCTTCAACATTATTGCTACTCCTTCTTTAGCTCTAACTCTGTTTGAAACCCCTGACCTAATCCCATTTATTCCTCTCCATTGAAACTCTCCCACCCCCTTCAGCTTTGTTTCACTTAAAGCCAGGACATCCAGTTTCTTCTCATTCATAACATCCACAATCATCTCTTTCTTATCATTTGCACAACATCCACGCACATTCAGACTTCCCACTTTGACAATTTTCTTCTTCTTATTCTTTTTATTAATCTTTACAGGAAAAGGGGTTACTAGCCCATTGTTCCCGGCATTTTAGTTGACTTTTACAACACGCATGGCTTACGGAGGAAAGATTCTTATTCCACTTCCCCATGGATATAAAAGGAAAAGTAATAAGACCAAGAGCTATTAAGATAAAATCAAAGAAAACTCAGATGAGTGTGTATAAATAAACGTGTACATGTATGTGTAGTGTGACCTGAGTGTAAGTAGAAGTAGCAAGACATACCTGTAATCTTGCATATTTATGAGACAGACAAAAGACATCAGCAATCCTACCATCATGTAAAACAATTACAGGTTTTCGTTTTACACTCACTTGGCAGGACGGTAGTACCTCCCTGGGTGGTTGCTGTCTACCAACCTACTACCTCTATTATTATTATTATTATTATTATTATTATTATTATTATTATTATTATTATTATTATTATTATTATTATTATTATTATTATATTACCATGGATCAACCCCAAGGACATATAGTGATACAAAACATTGTCATTATCTGGAAAAGAATTCACCATTATCGTCAAACTGCATATTAAATCAATACAGCAATTAAAATAATAATTCACTACCATGAGTAGACTAAGAGGAGTGAAGCATGAGGATTATTTCTAATATCTGTATAAATTAATTACGACTTATCAAATATAAAAGTAAATAGTTCATTATCACTGTAACTTGCTCACCCATCAAATCTTTGAGGCCCAGTTCCTGAACCCATTATGTGCCTCTGTAATCTTTTGACTACCTTCCACACCATGGGAATGGTGTGCATAATAAAAATATTAAACTAACATTGTACCTTGCTTAACTGTCAGAACACTGAGGCCCAGTTTCTGGACGCATCATGTACTGGTGCAGTCTTTTGACTACCTCATGCAGGATGGGTATGAGGTGCATGGTGCGTTATATATTAAACGGACTATTGGATCTGAGATAACCGTAATAAAAACGATTATTTACAGAGAGGTGTTGTTGGTTTTCAACCATGGGCAAGCAACGAAGTTTTGTTTAGGCAAAGTCAATCTGTCAAACCTAAGTGCCCTAAAATAGATATTTTCGACAGTTTTCTTTATTATTCTGTTAGATGCATGTTTTTGTGAATTTCTATAGTATATAAGTTTATTGTACCAAAATGATCTTAGTTGCTGCATATATTTACTCAGTGGCATTACGGTTAAGTATTTTATAACCACTTGGATGCCACTGATAATGTATCATCTCATAAGCTTCCATCTCATGATCTGTGAATCACATAACCTTTCATAACATAATCTATCACCACATTATCTAACACATGATCTATTATCACAACCTTTTCCTCCTGATGTAGCTGAAAATTGTAATTTCAATTTGTATTAATATATTTCGTAATTGTGCACCAACAAATGCGCCTGACTGACCTTAATGACACAGTAGACGCCGTTGTCAGCACGACAAGATAAGGTAATATAATGTTGAGTAAATGCAGGAAGAGGAGATGAGGGTCCACCCAGAGTTGTCAAACCATTGTTCTCCCAGCCCAGCCGAATTTTCCTCTCACCTAGCGTAAGGCTGGGAGACACCTCACCGACAGCATAAATGCTAAGCCAGTGTTGTTGTGAGCTGTCTAGTGGTATAATCACTGGCTGTATATCTACTTCCCACACTCGCATCTCTGGTAATACAAACAAAACACCACCACCAAGAGTCAGGATTAGAGCTATTGACCACCAAATCTCTTATAGCAGCCAATAATTTTTTTTTTTAACCTTTGGAAGTTGAATATAACTTCACACAAAAATGGTCAAGATGGAGTACAGGGTTATCACGTGTAACACAATCCCACACCTACACCTCTTCCACTCCCATAACATATTTTTTAAACTTACTTAACATACCTCCCACACATATCACATACCGCTAAATCTTACCCAAACATCAGGGTCGGCACCAGAATTTCTTTACTGCGATGGCTTATAGGCCGCTATTTGGTTGGAAGGAAGGGGCTAGGAGACTTGTTTTGAAGAAGCGTTATTATTAATATTCTTTCATTTAGGGGTTTGGAGGAGTGAGGGACTTTTCGGGAACTGAGCCCCTCCAAGAATCTCCTTAGTGTTTCCTCTGCCAAATACACCTATGTTACAATGCTGATAATTTTTCACAAAATTATCCTACCAAAGAGTGCTAGAAGGCCAACTTTTTAATATTTCTAGTTTGTAACAGGTTATAAATTTAGATTCTTCAACTCTGAGTAAGCAAGACATGCCACCTCAGGATTAAATACATAAATTATCAAGGTTAAAGCATGGAGAATAAGAAATTTACTAACATGAGTTTAGGAACCTTCATTATAAATATAAATCTCTAGGGTAAATATTTTAATTCAAATAAAATTATTTTCTCTGAAAGAAGTACTTTACACAAATCTCAGTGTTTAAACTTAAAAAAATTACTAATCTGTACATAACCCAAATATCAAGAGCAACATCAGGTACGTTACTGGTAAACAATACTTAATAGCTCTAACATATATATATATATATATATATAATATATATATATATATATATATATATATATATATATATATATATATATATATATATATATATATAAAAGAGAAGAAGAAAAACTTTATAAAACTGGGATGCTTAAATGTGCGTGGATGTAGTGCGGATGACAAGAAACAGATGATTGCTGATGTTATGAATGAAAAGAAGTTGGATGTCCTGGCCCTAAGCGAAACAAAGCTGAAGGGGGTAGGGGAGTTTCGGTGGGGGGAAATAAATGGGATTAAATCTGGAGTATCTGAGAGAGTTTGAGCAAAGGAAGGGGTAGCAGTAATGTTGAATGATAAGTTATGGAAGGAGAAAAGAGAATATGAATGTGTAAATTCAAGAATTATGTGGATTAAAGTAAAGGTTGGATGCGAGAAGTGGGTCATAATAAGCGTGTATGCACCTGGAGAAGAGAGGAATGCAGAGGAGAGAGAGATTTTGGGAGATGTTAAGTGAATGTATAGGAGCCTTTGAACCAAGTGAGAGAGTAATTGTGGTAGGGGACCTGAATGCTAAAGTAGGAGAAACTTTTAGAGAGGGTGTGGTAGGTAAGTTTGGGGTGCCAGGTGTAAATGATAATGGGAGCCCTTTGATTGAACTTTGTATAGAAAGGGGTTTAGTTATAGGTAATACATATTTTAAGAAAAAGAGGATAAATAAGTATACAAGATATGATGTAGGGCGAAATGACAGTAGTTTGTTGGATTATGTATTGGTAGATAAAAGACTGTTGAGTAGACTTCAGGATGTACATGTTTATAGAGGGGTCACAGATATATCAGATCACTTTCTAGTTGTAGCTACACTGAGAGTAAAAGGTAGATGGGATACAAGGAGAATAGAAGCATCAGGGAAGAGAGAGGTGAAGGTTTATAAACTAAAAGAGGAGGCAGTTAGGGTAAGATATAAACAGCTATTGGAGGATAGATGGGCTAATGAGAGCATAGGCAATGGGGTCGAAGAGGTATGGGGTAGATTTAAAAATGTAGTGTTGGAGTGTTCAGCAGAAGTTTGTGGTTACAGGAAAGTGGGTGCGGGAGGGAAGAGGAGCGATGGTGGAATGATGATGTGAAGAGAGTAGTAAGGGAGAAAAAGTTAGCATATGAGAAGTTTTTTACAAAGTAGAAGTGATGCAAGGAGGGAAGAGTATATGGAGAAAAAGAGAGAGGTTAAGAGAGTGGTGAAGCAATGTAAAAAGAGAGCAAATGAGAGAGTGGGTGAGATGTTATCAACAAATTTTGTTGAAAATAAGAAAAAGTTTTGGAGTGAGATTAACAAGTTAAGAAAGCCTAGAGAACAAATGGATTTGTCAGTTAAAAATGGGAGAGGAGAGTTATTAAATGGAGAGTTAGAGGTATTGGGAAGATGGAGGGAATATTTTAAGGAATTGTTAAATGTTGATGAAGATAGGGAAGCTGTGATTTCGTGTATAGGGCAAGGAGGAACAACATCTTGTAGGAGTGAGAAGAGCCAGTTGTGAGTGTGGGGGAAGTTCGTGAGGCAGTAGGTAAAATGAAAGGGGGTAAGGCAGCCGGGATTGATGGGATAAAGATAGAAATGTTAAAAAGCAGGTGGGATGTAGTTTTGGAGTGGTTGGGGCAATTATTTAATAAATGTATGGAAGAGGGTAAGGTACCTAGGGATTGGCAGAGAGCATGCATAGTTCCTTTGTATAAAGGCAAAGGGGATAAAAGAGAGTGCAAAAATTATAGGGGGATAAGTCTGTTGAGTACACCTGGCAAAGTGTATGGTAGAGTTATTATTGAAAGAATTAAGAGTAAGACGGAGAATAGGATAGCAGATGAACAAGGAGGCTTTAGGAAAGGTAGGGGGTGTGTGGACCAGGTGTTTACAGTGAAACATGTAAGTGAACAGTATTTAGATAAGGCTAAAGAGGTCTTTGCGGCATTTATGGATTTGGAAAAGGCGTATGACAGGGTGGATAGGGGGGCAATGTGGCAGATGTTGCAGGTGTATGGTGTTGGAGGTAGGTTACTGAAAGCAGTGAAGAGTTTTTACGAGGATAGTGAGGCTCAAGTTAGAGTGTGTGGGAGGGAGGGAAATTGTTTCCCAGTAAAAGTAGGCCTTAGACAGGGATGTGTGATGTCGCCGTGGTTGTTTAATATATTTATGGATGGGGTTGTAAGAGAAGTAAATGCGAGGGTCTTGGCAAGAGGCGTGGAGTTAAAAGATGAAGAATCACACATAAAGTGGGAGTTGTCACAGTTGCTCTTTGCTGATGACACTGTGCTCTTGGGAGATTCTGAAGAGAAGTTGCAGAGATTGGTGGATGAATTTGGTAGGGTGTGCAAAAGAAGAAAATTGAAAGTGAATACAGGAAAGAGTAAGGTTATGAGGATAAGAAAAAGATTAGGTGATGAAAGATTGGATATCAGATTGGAGGGAGAGAGTATGGAGGAGGTGAATGTATTCAGATATTTGGGAGTGGACATGTCAGCGGATGGGTCTATGAAAGATGAGGTGAATCATAGAATTGATGAGGGGAAAAGGGTGAGTGGTGCACTTAGGAGTCTGTGGAGACAAAGAACTTTGTCCTTGGAGGCAAAGAGGGGAATGTATGAGAGTATAATTTTACCAACGCTCTTATATGGGTGTGAAGCATGGGTGATGAATGTTGCAGCGAGGAGAAGGCTGGAGGCAGTGGAGATGTCGTGTCTGAGAGCGGTGTGTGGTGTGAATATAATGCAGAGAATTCGTAGTTTGGAAGTTAGGAGGAGGTGCGGGATTACCAAAACTGTTGTCCAGAGGGCTGAGGAAGGGTTGTTGAGGTGGTTCGGACATGTGGAGAGAATGGAGCGAAACAGAATAACTTCAAGAGTGTATCAGTCTGTAGTGGAAGGAAGGCGGGGTAGGGGTCGGCCTAGGAAAGGTTGGAGGGAGGGGGTAAAGGAGGTTTTGTGTGCGAGGGGCTTGGACTTCCAGCAGGCATGCGTGAGCGTGTTTGATAGGAGTGAATGGAGACAAATGGTTTTTAATACTTGACGTGCTGTTGGAGTGTGAGCAGGGTAACATTTATGAAGGGGTTCAGGGAAACCGGCAGGCCGGACTTGAGTCCTGGAGATGGGAAGTACAGTGCCTGCACTCTGAAGGAGGGGTGTTAATGTTGCAGTTTAAAAACTGTAGTGTAAAGCCCCCTTCTGGCAAGACAGTGATGGAGTGAATGATGGTGAAAGTTTTTCTTTTTCGGGCCACCCTGCCTTGGTGGGAATCGGCCAGTGTGATAATATATATATATATATATATATATATATATATATATATATATATATATATATATTATATATATATATATATATATATATATATATATATATATATATATATATATATATATATATAATAACGTAATACAAGGCAACAGATTCCTCATATAAGGTAAGAGACTCGACAACAAACTGATCACCTCCTCAACTAATCTAACTAAACATCCGAGAGTATAAACCACTGCTTGATTAACAATGGAACGGCCAGATCGCCAAACAGCAATTAGCAGTATAAAACAGCCGAAGACCACATACATCCCTGTGACTCAGACGAGTCACAGGGATGTTAGGAAGTATTTTTTCAGTCATAGAGTTGTCAGGAAGTGGAATAGTAAGGAGAGTGATGTAGTGGAGGCAGAAACCATACATAGCTTTAAGAAGAGAAATGATAAGACTCATGGAGCCTTATCAGGCATTTCCTGCACAAGGTTCAGTGGGACAGAGAACTGGTAGGGAAATCAGTAAATGAGATGATGGACTATGTGACAACAGTATGGAAAGAAGCAGAGGAGAGCTTGTACCTAAGGGCATCAGAAATAATGAGAAGGCCAGGATGAGCCCTTGGTTCATCCAAAGGTGTAGAGAGGCCAAAACCAAGTGCACTAGAGAATGGAAGAGGTATAGAAGGCAAAGGACCCAGGAGAATAAGGAGAGTAGTCGAAGAGCCAGAAATGATTATGCTCAGGTAAGGAGGGAGGCCCAGTGACAATATGAAAATGGCATGGCAGTGAAAGCCAAGTCTGACCTGAAGCTGTTGTATAGTCACATCAGGAGGAAAACAACAGTCAAGGTCCAGGCTGAGGAAGGAAAGAGGGAAGATCACAATAAACGACCGAGAAGTATGTGAGGAGCTTAACATGAGACTTAAAGAAGTATTCACAGTGGAGACAGAAAGGTGGGGTACACCATCAAGTACTGGACACAATACATATAACCGAGGAGGAGGAAGTGAAGAGGTTGCTAAGCAAACTAGATACCTCAAGGGCGATGGGGCCGAATAACATCTCTCCATGAGTCCTGAGAGAGGGAGCAGAGGCGCTCTGTGTACCACTAACAACAATCTTCAACACATCTATCGAAACAGGGCGACTACCTGAGTTATGGAAGACAGAAAATGGGACACAGCAACAAGAGGTCACACCTGGAAGATGAAAATTCAGATGAGTCACAAAGATGTTAGGAAGTACTTCTTTGGTAAAAGAGTTGTCAGGAAGTGAAACAGTCTGGAGAGTGATGTGGTGGAGGCAGGATCCATACATAGCTTTAAGAAGAGGTATGATAAAGCTCATGGAGCAGGAATAGTGACCTAGTAGCGACCAGTGAAGAGGCGGGAGCAGGAGTTGTGAATCGACCCCTGCAACCACAACTAGGTGAGTACACATTTTATGTAAAACCAACAAGGCGGCCACAAACCTGTTGCTCACTCCATATCCATAAAACTAGCTTGAGACCTCCATCCACATTTACTTTTTTTTTAAGAGTTAAACTCATGTGGGTCATACAGGACAGACATAGTGGAGGATTCATCCTCCGTCTGCTGAATTCAAGACATCCTCTCACAACTCAACAGTTGAATACATCTACAGGAACTATTTAGTGTTCCATAAGATCACAGCTCTCAACATAGGAGTTATGCTTGTTTCCTTAACGAGACAAAGTGGAAGAAGCAGTACCCTAACACAGGGATAATGAGATGCATCGGACACTGGAATACATCGGACACTGGGATACATCGGACACTGGGATACATCGGACACTGGGATACATCGGATACCGGGATACATCGAACTATAGAATGCATTTGACCGTAGAAATAGTTGGACATTGGGATACACTGGACAATAGGATACATGGAACAGTGGGATAAGTCAGACACTGGAATACATTGTATATAGGAATAAATGGAACATTATAATCCACTGAATATTGGGATACACTACATAAGAACATAAGAACATAAGAAAGGAGGAACACTGCAGCAGGCCTGTTGGCCCATACTAGGCAGGTCCTTTACAATTCATCCCACTAACAAACATTTGACCCACCCAATTTTCAATGCTACCCAAGAAATAAGCTCTGATGTGCAAGTCCCACTCAAATCCAACCCCTCCCACTCATGTACTTATCCAACCTAAATTTGAAACTACCCAAAGTCCTAGCCTCAATAACCCAACTAGGTAGACTGTTCCACTCATCAACTACCCTATTTCCAAACCAATACTTGCCTATGTCCTTTCTAAATCTAAACTTATCTAATTTAAATCCATTACTGCGGGTTCTCTCTTGGAGAGATATCCTCAAGACCTTGTTAATATCCCCTTTATTAACACCTATCTTCCATTTATACACTTCGATCAGGTCTCCCCTCATTCTTCGTCTAACAAGTGAATGTAACTTAAGAGTCTTCAATCTTTCTTCATAAGGAAGATTTCTAATGCTATGTATTAATTTAGTCATCCTACGCTGATACTTGGAACACTGGGATACATTAAACACAGGGATACGTCGCACATAGAGATACAATGGACTGGATACTAGGACAAATTAAACACTGTTATACATTGAACATTAGAACATAATGAACACTGTAACACAATGAACACTGGCATACATTGAACAGTGGGATATACCAGTCTCTGTACATACCGTTGCATAAGCATGAGCTATCTAAGGTCCAGGGAGAGTGTCGGTGTGATAGCGAGTTAATTTTCTTATCTCACTGTCACATTATACAGTGATCCAACACAAACATAGGTCACGGGGACGACCATCACAACAACAGGTCACACACACGACCAAAACCACAACAGGTCATGCACACGACCATTACAAACACAGGTCACAGACGACCAACTCAAACACAGGTTACAGTCACCACAAGCACAGGTATCATGCCCACAATCACCACTACCACAGGTCACACAATCACTCATCACACAATTACCGCAAACTGAAACACTTAATCACCACACCCATGGATCACACAGTCAATCACCACAACCATTGATAACACACTCACCAAAGCCACTGACCACACAGTAACTACAGCCACGGATCACAGTCACCAAAACCACAGGACACAGACAAGTAACGCAGCCCCATCCCAAAAACACTTAATTTTAAATGAAAGCTATCGTATTTTTCAATAAGATTATATATTTCATCTCTTCATACTGCACACATAAATCATAATAGTCGTGTCACATATAACCCATAAAAACAAATTTAACTCACTTTTTATGCAGTTGAAAGTAAGATTGCTTCCAGTAAACTCAATAGATTTGATGGGTAAGTTAGAAGTGAAGTAGACTGGGAGAGAAATATTCAAACTGGCCGAGTATATCTCATACATCGACGTCACTTTGAAAACAAACTCCTGCCACCCATCGCTTAAGATTTTGGGGACTGGAATTATTTTGGTGCTTTTAACAAAATCTTTGACGCGGACAAGTTCTACATTTCTTGTAGTCAAGGTAATGTTGTCGTAATTTCTGGGATAACCCTCGTCGCCCAGTTGAACAAGCAGAGTGAATATAGTTTGACTGCGGTTGGAGAAGACCCAGCCACTGACCTGGGTATCTGACCACACCCATTGTGTTTCATACTTAGATCTCACCACACATCCTGTAAAGTAAAGGATTAACAATTAAAAGTTTGACTCTAATCACATGTTTTCTTTAAAATTTGCTTTTGCATAATGTTGGTATGAAATTATTTTAAAAAGAGTCTATAGATTTGTACTGCTAATTCTTGAACGTTGTTTCATACTACTTATTCTCACTATTGCAGTGCCTTGCATGAAATATCTTACTGTATAACGTGTGGTCTTACATAATGTATAGTGTTATGCAATGAGTAGTCTTATATAAAGAGCAATGAGCTCATTTTCTTTGTAATGCTACATACAATAAATTAATGAAAATCATCTTGCAACTTGACTTCAAGTTAAGGAAGTTTCTAACCAGGTACGGATACACATGAATACACTTACATAGATTATCATACATAAGAACATAAGAAAGAAGGAACACTGCAACAGGTCTATTGACCCATGCGGAGCAGGTCCATGCCCTCCCCCCCTGATAAGCCCAATGACCCACCCAGTCTGGTCACCTCCACTCAAAGGAGCACGGCACAAGACCCAGCAGCACAAGCTAGTCAGGTCCAACTCACACCCACCCACCCACACCCACTCATGTATTTATCTAGCCTATTTTTAAAACTACACAACTTCTTAGCTTCTATGACGGTACTCTGGAGTTTGTTCCACTCATCCACAACTCTATTACCAAACCAGTGTTTTCCTATATCCTTCCTGAATCTGAATTTTTCCAACTTGAAACCATTGCTGCGAGTCCTGTCTTGGCTGGAAATTTTCAGCACGTTATTTACATCTCCTTTATTTATTCCTGTTTTCCATTTATACACCTCAATCATATCCCCTCTAATTCTACGCCTTTCAAGAGAGTGCAGATTCAGAGCCTCAGTCTATCCTCATAGAGAAGATTTCTGATACATGGGATCATCTTTGTCATCCTCCTTTGTACGTTTTCCAGAGCATTTATATCCATTCTGTAATACGGTGACCAGAACTGAGCAGCATAGTCTAAATGAGAACTAACCAAGGATATATAGAGTTGAAGAACAACCTGAGGACTTCTATTATTTATACTTCTTGATATGAAGCCAAGAATTCTATTAGCTTTATTGCGAACACTAATGCACTGTTATCTTGGTTTTAAATTACTGCTAACCAGAACTCCTAAATCCTTTTCGCAATCAGTAGTATTAAGATCTACATTTAGTTTATATGTCGCATGGTTATTTTCCTGTCCAACATTTAGAACTTTGCATTTGTCTATATTAAACTGCATCTGCCATTTCTCCAACCACTGCATCAGTCTATTCAAATCATCCTGGAGTGCTCTAGTGTCCTCATTAGAATGAATTGGACGGCCTATTTTGGTGTCATCAGCAAATTTGCTTATGTCGCTATTTATTCCCTCATCTATTCCGTTTATGTAAATTGTGAACCACAACGGACCCAACACTGACCCCTGTGGAACACCGCTTGTGACGTGCCCCCATTCTGATTTCTCCCCATTTATGTAAACTCTCTCCTGGTTATTTGTCAGCCATGCCTCTACCCAGGAAAAAATTTCTCCTATTCCGTGTGCCTTAAGTTTCCTCAATAGCTTCTGATGTGGAACTCTATCGAAAGCCTTACTGAAGTCCATATACACAATATCATATTCTTTACCATGATCTACCTCCTCAAATACCTTAGTGAAGAAAGTAAATTCGTAAGACAGAAACGCCCCTTTGTAAAAACGTGTTGAGATTCATTAATCAATCTGTGCCTATCAAGATGGCTACGAATTGATTCCATAAATTTTCCCACTATGGAGGTAAGGCTTATTGGTCTATAGTTCGAAGCCAAGGACCTGCCACCTGCCTTGTAAATAGGTATTACATTTGCCATTTTCCACTTATCAGGCACTATGCCAGTTTGTAGTGATATGTAAAGAAGATTAGCCAAAGGTATGCTAAATTGCTCTTTACATTCCTTTAACACACCATACCACGGGCGGGTATACAACCCTGATCAGAGAGTCTCAAAGTTTTGAGACTCTCTGATCGCGGGTTCTATCCCCGCCCGTGGAATGGCTTGTTTGCATTCGTGTCATTACCATTCCTTTAACACCCTTGCAAAAATTATGAGGTAAGTTGGTATTATGGCTAAGTGACTAAATACTAGTTTGAGAGTTTAGCAATGTGAATGCTTTTGTTTTGGCACAGTACATAGTTTCAGTATTGGAGTATCACAGGATTCATTATTTTAAGACTGAGATTAATATTTCTGTTTATGGTCAAATGAGTGAGTGAGTGTAAGTGTGAACCACCAGGTGGTATTCGTGTAGTTAGTTGACGGGGTGTATCAGGGAGATAAGATGTTTTCTAATGGTAGTTTTGAAGGTGATGAATGTGTCTGCAGTTCTAGAGTTCTCAGGTAGGGTATTCCAGATTTTAGGGCCTTTGACATACATTGAATTTTTGTAAAGGTTTAGTCGGACACGGGGAATGTCGTAGAGATGTTTGTGTCTGGTGTTATGCCTGTGGGTTCTGTCACAACTATCAAGAAAGCGTTTTAGGTCAAGGTTGATATTAGAGTTTAAGGCCCTGTAGATATAGATTGCACAGTAGTAAGTACTCTAATATCAACCTTGACCTAAAACGCTTTCTTGATAGTTGTGACAGAACCCACAGGCATAACACCAGACACAAACATCTCTACGACATTCCCCGTGTCCGACTAAACCTTTACAAAAATTCAATGTATGTCAAAGGCCCTAAAATCTGGAATACCCTACCTGAGAACTCTAGAACTGCAGACACATTCATCACCTTCAAAACTACCATTAGAAAACATCTTATCTCCCTGATACACCCCGTCAACTAACTACACGAATACCACCTGGTGGTTCACACTTACACTCACTCACTCATTTGACCATAAACAGAAATATTAATCTCAGTCTTAAAATAATGAATCCTGTGATACTCCAATACTGAAACTATGTACTGTGCCAAAACAAAAGCATTCACATTGCTAAACTCTCAAACTAGTATTTAGTCACTTAGCCATAATACCAACTTACCTCATAATTTGTAATATTTTACAATTAAGAATAAAACTAAGTATGCCCGAAATGCCTAGCCATGCTAAGCGTTCTAGTGGTACACTCTGTAATCACAATTTTACTACATGTAAACCAAACAATAACCAAATTTCTGTAAACTCAGCATTGTAATCCTTATAGAGAATAAACTTTGAATTTGAATTTGAAACAGTACATCAGGGCCTGGGGATTTGTTAGGTTTTAGTTTATTTGTCTGAGGACCATGTCACTAGTTACCGCAATCATGCATAGTTTATTATCGTCCTGTTCTACATAATCTATTATTTTAGGAATATTGCTAGTATTTTCCTGGGTGAAAACTGAGAGGAAGTAGGTATTGAGAATTTTACACATATCCTTATCACTGTCAGTGATCTGACCAGAGTTACTCTTAAGTGGGCCAATCTTGTCCCTAATCTTACTTCTGTATACCTGAAAGAACCCTTTTGGGTTAGTCTTTGAATCCCTTGCGACCTTAGCCTCATAATCCCTTTTTGCTTTTCTTATTCCTTTCTTTATTTCTCTCTTTAACTGAATATATTGATTTCTTAACCGCCCATCCCCCCTTTTGATACGCCTATATATGCCTCTCTTTTGACCAATGAGATGTTTTAATCTATTGTTCATCCATTTGGGATCATTTTTATTAGATCTAATTTCCCTACTCAGAACAAAAGTTGTCTGGGCAGCTAGAATTATACTACCTGACCCATAGTCAGGACATCCCAATTTAGCCCACCCAGGTAATTTTTCAGTCCCATGAAGTCGGCCAAGAGAAAATCTGGGACAGAGATTTGATTGCAGTTATCTGGGTAATTCCATGATATATTGAAACTAAGTGATTTGTGATCGCTTTCCCCAAGCTCATCATTAACCTCAAGATTATTAATTAGTGACTCTTTGTTGGCAAGAACCAAGTCAAGCAGATTGTTTCCTCTAGTTGTTTCTGTCACAACCTGTTCTAAAAAGTAATCCTGAACCGTATCAAGAAAGTCACTAGACTCAAGATTTCCTGTCATATTGTTCCAATCAATTTGTCTAAAGTTAAAATCTTTCATTATCACAACATTTTCATATCTAGATGCCTTATGAATTTCGTCCCATAACAGCTTACTGCACTCCCTATCAAGGTTTGGGGGCCTATAAATCACACCCAAAATTAATTTGTCACGACCCTCGAGAAACTGTTGCCAAACAGATTCTGTGTTCGATGCTTCTAATCTTATATCATGTCTAAGACAACAGTTTAAATTTTCTCTGACATACATCGCCACTCCACCACCCTTCCTGTTGACTCTGTCAGTGTGGAATAGTTTATAACCCTGTATGTTGCATTCAGAAGACATTTCTCTATCTTTCAGGTTGAACCAGGTCTCTGTTATACCAATAATATCTATATTACCTTCACTTGTAAGTAATCTTAGCTCATCTGTCTTATTTCTTAGACTCCTACTATTTGTATAATAAACCTTAAGGGAGCTAGTCACTCGTTGCCCTCTACTATCTCTTTGTTTGTTGATCAATTGATTTGCCATTACTAGCAACTTTATTTTGAATATTGCCTTTTATACATATCTCTGAGGTATCCCGGTAATAACTGCTGTTTTTAACCCTAATGCTGCAGCCTGATTGTTTCCCACAAACACTCATACCTCTATAATTTATCAGTTTAAATTCCTAGACAAGTCATCACTTACCCTCTCAATCGAATATGTGTAGATTACCTACGATAACCCAAAAATTTTGTTGCAATGTAATTAAAAAAGTGAAGCAAAAAACTGATGCCGCGTGAAAATCTTGATGTAACACTCCACAGAGCCTTAAAATGTGAGTCAGAGAGAGAATACTACTGAGAGTGAGACCCAGACCACCTACAGCTGCGGGAGGCAAACATCCTCTGCCACACTCATTCTCTCTTTAGCAAATATATTTTCATTACTTTCTGAACTCCGGATATTAACCACGTCACTGAAGAGGGCTACTAGTGATGTTAGATGTGCTAAGTTATGATTCTTGTTGAAGAAAAATAGATGTTTTAGATGCGTTTAGGTGGTATATGTGTGACGGAAACTGCGTTTAATAGTTGTGGGAATGAATCGACCATTCGTACTGCAGGATGTCCGAGAAGAGTTAGCACCGTATTGCATAACCACAGTTCCTTAGAAAAACAAGCAAACAAACAAAAATAAAAACGGAATGGGTGGGTTTCAATCCATGGAGTTTTACGATTCACTCACCATGGTTTCAAACCCCACCCGCTCTGTACCTTGTTTGCAGTCATGTTATTACCATTTCGTGAGTCATGGTCCCATGTAAGTCAGTACACGAAAAAAGAATAGTGCAGAGGGCGGCATGAGATTAAAACAGTTAGATATTAGCGTTAAAGATTTAAGTGGAATCAGAAGAGGCATTCACAAGTTATCAAATGAACATTAATATCTCGGTTTCAATAAAAATTGTAAATTAGGACGTCGACAGGCCAAAAGATTCAAATATTTCAATATAAGACACCAACTCTGCATTACTTTGTAACTTGGTCATGAATGTGACCAGATCTACCTGGAGTTCATTACCTTGCAACTTGGTCATGATTGTGACCAGATCTACCGGGAGTTCATTACCTTGCAACTTGGTCATGATTGTGACCAGATCTACCGGGAGTTCATTACCTTGTAACTTGGTCATGATTGTGACCAGATCTACCTGGAGTTCATTACCTTTGTACCTCGTTCAGCTATCAAAGCTTTGGGGCCCAGTCCCTGGACCCATTATGTACCTCTGTAATCCTTAAACTACCGCCCACAGGACGGGTATGGGGTGCATAATAAAGATATTAAACTAACTTACCTCAAGGAGGCAGGTATCTTAAGATAAAACAACACACTAAGTGTGAAGTCACTCAGAGGTTGTATTATCTAGTTATCAACACTGAAGAGCTGCAGCTTGTAAGATAAATCAGAAATTATGGCTTGGAAACCACTAATTCAAGTTTCCCAACTCTTCAAGGGGAGGGGGGGGGGGCTCCTTAAAGTGGTGAAGAGGCTATTGGTCTGAGGAATTGGACCTATTGGTCGTCTTCCTCAGACCGAATCTAATTACCCCCAATCCTTCCTTCCATATCCCATCCTCCCCATATACCCTTTCCTTCTCCCTTCCAACCTCCCCCTTTTCCACATCCCATTTGTAGCCTTTGGGGTACCCCCCTCTGGCATTACGGTTTCTAGACAGGGGGAAGTGTGCCGGAGTTCATCCCGCTCCGTGAGGTTTCTCGGGTGTAGTGTAGTTTGCTGTGGAATCTGGATTGTCTGCAGGCACCCTGCTTCCTTTCTGAATTTCCAGGAAGTGGGCAGGGTGTCCTGAGGGTGACGGGTGTATCTCCAAAGGCTGCCTGTTGGTTCTGGGAGTTGACAGCCGAAGGAGGTATGCTTTGTGGCGGATTTCCGACCGCCCTCTCTTTTGTCCGCCGAGGTGGCTCAGTAGATGTGAGGCTGCTATCCTGCAGCACTGGTTTACTGGTGTGAAGGGTAGGTTATGGCAGGATTCCATGCTGCATCTGCACTACTTGCGGGCTCGAGGTCCTATCAGATGAGGGGAGAACTTACAGCCCTTTCATGTCTTCTAGTGGCTGTCCCTCTGCTGCCCCTCTTTTTTTTCTTTCCTTTTCTTTTTTTCTTAAAAATAATAAGACGAAACAAATACCACTATCATGGTGTCTTTGTTCTGTGATAACCCTCCTCTTCCCAGGAGCCTTTTGGTTCCTGCATCCTGTTCTGACCCGGCTTCATTATTGGACCATTCTCTAGACTCTTCCCATACCCCTATACCTTCTGCTAGTGATGCTTTGTCACCTGCTTTAGGTTCTGGGGCTCCACCCATTTCTGTTAGTGCCTCTACCTCTTGCACGCCTTTAAACTATGCATCCAGGTTCCCCGAATATGGTACAACAGTTTTTGGATCGCCCACCTACTTCAGGTCGAGTTGCCCATGGTATTATGTCTAAACGTTCCAGACCATTTGCTGACGATGGTTCGTCAATGTCTGCTCATTCCATTCAAACACAACCTATGGGACACCCACTTCCTTTACGCATCGTGTTTACAAGTACACAGTGGAGTAAATTCTTTTCCTTGCAACTGACATCTCCAGCTATCTTTCTGACTATAGAATTGGTAAAGCTCTTTTATGACACGTTGGCCAAAATATATTCTTTCACGGAAATAAGTCTGACTTTTTTTTGTGTGTTAACCAGAGTTCTCTACTCATGCTGCTATGTATGATAATCTATGTAACTATTTGTGTATACCTGAATAAACCTACTTATTTGAAATGGCACGCGCATCGTTACAGTCCAAAATGGAGAACAAGCTCACTCTCTTTCCCATCTTTCTTCCACTGATAACATTCCAATCATGGTTCACAAGTACGCTACTCTCAATTCTTGCAGTTGTACGGTGGTTTTACCGTGTACCATTGTACAGCGTGATTTTCTGTCTTGCGGTGATATTTTGGAGCAATTAGCCCTTCAGAACCTTCCAATTCTCAAAGTAAATACATATGTTCTGCCTGCTTGCAGGCAGAGGTGCTTTCCAAGTAACATCACCTGCTTAACCTTTGATTGCCATGAACTCCCGTCCTCTGTTTATATTGCAGGCCATCACCTAGAAGTCCATAAAGTAGTCCATACTCCCCAACAGTGTCAAAATTGCTGGCACTTCGGACATCCTGCTAAATACTGTAGATCTGTAGTGGAGTGTCCGGTCTGCAGTGACGCAGATCATGCCGATACATCTTGCAGTCTTCCCCCCACTTGTCTGAATTGCAATGAGCCTCATCCGTCTTTTTCTCACCAATGTCAGGCCTATCTTAATAAACGAGAAATCCGTTGTCTTAAGGAAAGCGAAGGCCTTATGCTATAGCTGTCTCTCGGCTCTGCCTTAAGGGTAATCTTCCTCGTGTTCCTTATTTTCAAGTACCTAGGAGACCTCCAACCTTGGTGGTCCCCCCCCTCTACCAGCTCCTCCAGTGTCGTGTCTTCTGGGGTTACCCCATCTCCAATTCTTTTGCGGTTTTACTCTCTGAAACCACCATCTCTGAAACTCCCACATCCTTACCTATTCCAACCTCTACTACTTCTTGCCTGCTAGTTTCTCAGACTACAAGGCCTCGCATGCCTACATCTTGTTCGTGCCTATCACCTGCGAAGTTAAACCTGCTTCATAAGCCCAAGTCTCTTTGCATTCCTCCTTTGCTTACAATTCCTCAACAGTTTTCCTTTTTGGCCTCGGTGCCTGGTTCTCACCCACTTTCTAACTCTCGCATAAAGGTAGAGGTTCACATCCCCCTCGTGTAGCTCCCTCTTCTCCTGTTCCCCCAATCTTCCTCCCCAGTTACCTTCCAACCTCCTTCCTCTCCTGTTATACTGCAGGACTCTTCTGCCCCCGCCAGCACATCTCTCTAGGTTCATACTCCCTTCCCCTCTCAAACCTCTTTGGTTCCCTCCATAGTCTCCCCAATTTCTACATGCTCTACCTTACCTGTCTCTGAAATCATGGCATCGGCATCTTCCTTATCCGCTGAGACACTTGATGCAGAGACAAAACCCTCGATGGACACTGATGCGCCTCCTTCTACCCTTCCTTATTTTTCACAACCCTCGCAGCAACCTTTTTCTTCACAGCATTCTGATTCCTCCTTGCTTACACGCTTACCATTGCCTCCACACATTGACTTCACTGACCCGAATAGCCCAGAGATTTTATCGCTTCTTATTCTTGGCATACCTGTCTTATTCTTGGCATAATGTCTTATTTACAATGCAATATTTGTGGCCTCAGGGGTAATTGAGGAGAGCTCCAGGTGCTGTTCTCCCAGTTTTCTCCAGTATGTGTTGGGCTACAAGAGCCCAAAATTCGCTCAGCTGTTATTCGTCCCGTTTCAGGCTATGTTCTGTTGCATTTTTCTGATCCCTTTCCTGATGAATCATTTAATGTGAGCACACTTCTACTGCACGTTGGTATACCATATCAACAGGTGTTTGTTCGTTCTCTGCTGCATTATACTGCAGCCCATATTTATTTGCACAGATTGTGTACAGTTTGCTCTCTATATATTTCCCCTTCCTGTGCATTCTGTATCACGGATATTGCATTCTAGATCTCTTCTCTACCGCCACCCATCTTGTTGCTAGCTGATTTTAACGCTCACCATCATCTGTGGGGAGGGTCCCACCGCGACTCTCGTGGTGATTAATTGGAGACTCTTCTCACTTCTCATCCTCTTCATGTTTTAAATACGGGTACTCCCACCCATTTTGACTCTCGCACTCAGTCTCTCTCTTGCATTCATCTTTTTATCTGCTCCTTGTCAATTGCACTTGATTACGCTTGGTCAGTTCTCTCGGATTTATCGGATTTACACCACTGTGATCATTTTCCTACTTTTCTTTTTTCTACTACATATTCCCAGCTGCCTCGTAGCCCCTGTTGGCAATTTGAACGAGCGAACTGGGACTTATACTCTCATCTTACCACCTTTAGTGGGGAGCCTCCTTCGCTTTCTGTTGATGAGCTGGTGCACCAGTTTTCGACCTTAGTTTTGACTGCAGTGTCACATTCTATTCCTCAAACCTCAGGCAGGGATTCTCAGACATGCTTGCCTTGGTGGCCTCTTGTGTGTGTCCGTGCAGTGCATTTGAAACGTGTTGTGTGCGGCTTGGAAGAAGGTTTGGCAGCCGTGTGGCAAGTACACTCCAGACCCAGCTCCCATTGTGAGGGTTGTTGGTATTAGTGTTTTGGAATCTCTTGAAGTTGCCACGGAAATCAGAAACTACCTTGTCCGTGTCTCCCATTTCTTGTGTCTAAGTCTACCAGCAATTGCCCTTGGATTTCTCCTCTAATGGAATGGAGATTATCATCATCTCTACCCCACCTTCAAGCCTTCAAGGCTGGCGACATTGCAGACCTGGAGAGTGTACAAAGAACTTTCATGGCACACATAAGTACGATAAGGCACCTAAACGGTTGGAGGTTCTTGATCTGTATTCCCTCGAATGCAGGAGAGAGAGATACATGATAATATACACTTGGAAGGTCCTGGATCGATTGGCACCAAACCTGCACACGAAAATCATTTCCTATGAAAGCAAAAGACTCGGCAGGAGATGCAACATACCCCTGATAAAAAGCAGGGACACCATGAGTACACTGAGAGACAACACAGTAAGTGTCTGGGGCCCAAGACTGTTCAGTTGCCTCCCAGCATACATAAGGGGAATTACCAATAGATCCCTGGCTGTCTTCAAGAAGGCACTTGACAGGCACCTAAAGCCAGTACCTGACCAACCGGGCTGTGGTTCGTATGTCACCTTGCGTGTGGCCAGCAGTAACAGCCTGGTTGATCAGACTCTGATCTACCATGAGGCCTGGTCTCAGACCGGGCCACGGGGGCGTTGACCCCTGAAACCCTCTCCAGGTAAACTCCAGGTAACTCCAGGTCTTTGCAGCTGTTGGCAACAACGGTGGCCGGGCATGCACCATAACAAATTGCAGTTTTTTAAATTGCTTTTAGGTTTGTGGCCATCTTCTTACCACCATTGCGGTACTCGGGAGACTGCGCTCTCCCGTCTCCGTATTGACCATACTCGCCTTACCGATGGGTATTTCATGGAACGAGACCCTATTCCTTTCTGTGAGGCTTGTCAGGTCCCTATTTCGGTACTTCACTTTCTTGTAGATTGCCTGGTCTACCCGCGAGCTCGCAGGATTTACCTCCAACAATGTCACTACTCTACCACCCTTACCTTATCTTCCCTTCTTTCAGACGACCCTGCCCTTGGCTTACAATCACTTTTTGACTTTTTGTCAGCAACTGCCTTACTGTACGAAGTTTGATACATAGCCCTTAGTGTCCCTTCCAGCCCTTTTCTCTCACCTCTGAGCCCCTCTACACTGGTCAGAGCAATGGGACGATAGTGAGACATATCAAGCCCCGAGGTGCCTAGTTTGCGAAACGGTAGGGAAATGGCAGATTTCTATTGTTGAGGGAGAACCCCTCGCGTCCAAATAAGATTGAAAGGATGCAAAAGGACTGTAAGGGTTGTAGAATGCAGATGTAGCATACTGATATGAATATCAGGCCCAGCTGCCGATGACTGGCAAGCAGAAAGCATGGACTCTAACTCTAGTAGAGTGAAAGGTACATTATATGGCTCCATTCCGTTAGAAGAGAAATCCAAGTGCAATTGCTCCTTGGTAAAGTTAGATGCGAGAAATGAGGGACAGAGGTGAAGTGCTTGGGAGACAATAACAAGACAGTTCCCGATTTCTGTGGCAACTTCAAGAGGTTCTGTAACACAAACGCAAGTAACCCGCAAAACGAGCTGGGTCCAGGGCGTACTTGCTGCACAACTTCTGTACCTTCATCCAAACTGCACACATAGGGAAAGTCGAGGTAATGGTAGACACATAGTCTTGCCAACAAGTGCATTAAGCATCATGTATTACATGGTGAGCGACTGCCCTTGCCTGCTTAAAATCCAAGAGATGATTTGAAGTCCGATTATATCGATAATGGCCACACACAGCATGTTTCAAATGCACCGCATGGGCACATGCAGGAGACCACCAAGGCACGCATGTCTGAGAATGCCTACCTTAGGTTTCAGGAATAGAACGTAACACTGCAGTCAAAACTAAGGTCGAAAACTGGTGCACCAGTTCATCAATAGAGGACGAAGAAGGGTCCCCACAAAAAGTGGTAAGATGAGAGTATAAATCCCAATTAGCTCATCTAAATTGCCAACGAGGGCTACAAGGCGGTCGGGAATACGTAGGAGAATAGACCAAATGTAATCAAGTGCGATTGATGGGAAGCAGATA